GAACCACTGCAAAGATAAAAGCTTCATCTTAATAAGTATCTTTTTCAACTCAGCTGAGAAAAGCCCGCACAAGTTTTGTCCTCACTTTTCAGGATGGCTTCTGATTTCCAAAAATGCCAAGTGACCAAGAAGATGTTGCTGGCTTAGATGGAGCACTTGTAGGTGGCTCTGGTTGAGTGGGGATGAAAAGCAATGCCTGGGGAGCTGGGAGGGTTGGCAGGGGTCCTAAAATCTGGGGGCTTCATTAGAGGCCCTTTTCAGTGGAACATATAAACACACATCTCGATTGCAGTGATGTTAATGGGATTTAAACACGTGCCTGAGCACTGTGATGAGCAGAGCTGATCTGTTCACATAAGAGCCTAAGAGAACTTTTCCTTTCTTCATGCACCAGAACCTCTTTAAAATCAACGTGTTTATGCCTCCATGCATGTAAGGAAGGAGAGTTACCCTTCAAAAATCCACACATTTTATCATTAGAATATATTCTAGTTAAGCAAGCCAAAAGCTCTTTGGCAGTTTTGACCCTCTTCACACATCTCTTCACTTGGAGAAGCTTATTGGTTTTCTCTTGTTGTCACTAGGCGAAATATATTATGCCAGGTGCTAATAAAAACAAACAAACAGAGGGAGAAAAACAGAGAGAGAGAGAGAGAGCAGAAATGTTTCTGATTTGGCGTGTAACAAATGACCTGGAACCTCTTTTGTGATCATAGCAAACGGCGAGAAGACTGGGAGCGATCAATCTTCGTGCGATTAAAAGAGGGAGGCTACAGGCTGCGGGAGAACATCCTGTTCCATCTGTACGTGAGCACTTCACCCTGCGGAGACGCGCGCCTCAACTCCCCCTACGAAATCACAACCGACTGTAAGAAAAAAAATTCTTCCCTCTCCTTTTTCCCCTTTGCATGTTTTTTTTTCCTTTTCCTTTTTTTTTTTTTTTAAGATCAGTCCTTCTTTCTTTGTTTGCTTGCAGAAAATGTGTTTCACTCGAGAGCAGAAACACTGCGGGCTGTGTGGCTGTGTGTGTCTGTGCGACTGGTGCTTGGTCCCGCGTACTGGGGGACGGTGTGCAGGGAACATCGGAGCTGGGCAAGGCAGTGGGAGACTGCTCTGCATGCCTGAGCCCCGGTGGCTCTGCTAGGGAATATGTCCCCACAGCTTAGCAGGAAATGCAACCTTGACAGTAAATAAATGCCTTGGGAAAGGTCCTCATGATCTAAGAGATACCTGGAGCCATGGCCATGGGCTGGACCAGAGGATCAGGTCTCCAGCTGGGGATGCATGGATTTTTCTCAAAGTTTAGGCAGTACTTATGGGTTGATGGGTCGCATTTACACCAAACCTGAGCTGTCCAGGCTGCAGCGGCTGGAGTCTGACGTAAAGCGATGGTGTGATACGATACAATACGATACGGTAAGATACGACACTATATGGCACATCTGTAGTGTTGGTTGAAGGTCACACTCTCTCCAAATACCACCTGCCCTTGCAGTAAATAATGTCAGAACCCTTCTGGAAGGGATCCTTGCCAGGCCATCCTGCCTATGTCAGATCAGCCACATGGCCACTGCATAGCAGATGGACTAGATGAAGTCCACCACACCAGCCTTAGAGTCCCTGGGCCCATACCTATGGCATTTAAGTGGAAACATGGTTTTCCAGGGATTTCTCCTCTAGAGGTGATCCTGCAAGTGAGGCAAACAAATCAGGTCTTGAGCCAGTGTGGATGCCACCAAGAAACCTGCAGAGCTTGTTGTCCATGAAGAGACATCCCGTCTCCACCACATGACCCAGTTCTCTCATCTCATCCCCCCTCCAAACATGCATGTCCCTGTCATTGCCCTCCCATCGCAGAGGCATATCCTTGTTGTGAACCCACTGCAACAGCTTTGCCCCTGCCTAGCCACAGGCAGATGTGCCCAACAAGGGACAGGGGACTCGAGAGGTTTGTGGCTTGTTATCACATGTGTCTGTCACTCCATGATTCAATGCGCGATGCACAAGGTGCGATCTTGTCTCTGCCCTTGGGTATTGCTTCTCATACATGCATTTTACAGTGCTGTAATACCCACAGTGCTGGCTGCTAAACGTACATATAATGAGAAACAGTCCTTGCCCTGACTACCTTGAATGTGAAGCAGGCAAGACAGAAGAATGGATAGAGGAGGAAGCATAGACACAGGAATGTAAAATTAATCATCCAAGGTCACAAAACGACCTAACATCCTCACAGGCAAATCCATCAGGCGGTAGTTTCACTCCTGGTTCTTATTTGTACAAGTTATTTATTAACGATTAGGTATTATTCTCCCCAGACTGGAATCTTTTTGTCATGTGTGAAACGCAGCCTGCTGGGGCAAGAAAGCAGAATGCACCTATTCAGGAAGGAAATATACTTCCTTACCTGACATGATTTCTACGTTCTGTCAGCAGGGTTTATAAAATGAAGAAAAGCAAGCAAATTTTTAAAAGGCAAACAGCAAATTGACAAATTCCTGATGAGGAACAAAATGAGGAGACACAGCATTATCTAAAAACAAAATTAAAAATAAAAAAGGAAATGCCTATGAATATCAAAATTGAATAGTGATTTTGGCTTCCCACTTTATGTGTGTACCAAGAGATATCTAAAAAAGCTTTATATTTGGTTAAAGGCCCTCATGTTTTCCAAAAGACACCTTCCCAGGGCACCCCTTAGTTGACATCAGAATTGGAAGCACCAAAATATGTAATTATTTTTAAAATGTGATCTGTTCTCGAGAACAACCAAAGACTATCCAGGATGGATTCTGCTCTTTCATGCCTGAGGAATCGGGTGCTTTGGGCAGCTGGCGGCCAGCGCTACCTATTGATAGCAACTGAACCCAGCCCTGGAGGTGAACCGTACTTGGCTCATGGATTGCTTCAAAAAGCACATACATCTGCCAGCTAATGAGGGAATGCTTCTTTAGATAACAGTACGTACAGGAAGCTGTGTTTAAAAATACATAATCACGCAACACCTGACACTTACACAGTAAACTTGTAGGTGGCCACAAAAATACTTTTCATGTCAGTTATTACACCAATTATTGTCCCAGTGCAGAAGCTGAGGCAGAAAGGGCTGTGTGGCTTACCCAAGGTTACACAGTGATTCACTAGCAGGACTTGAAGGGGCACTACATCTGGTTTGTATTTCACTCTTTTAAGCAGATCCCTCTACCTTTGTCCTGGGCTCTTAAAATAATTTAGCACTGTATAAAAAGCCGTGTTGCCAAAAGCCATCCTTCAGTGAGATAAGCATTTCCTTTTAGCTCTCATTATCCCAGAGACATCTGGGAAGATAAGTATTTTATAATGTTTATCATTCAGATCTTCTCTTTTCTTTTTTTTTTTACTAAAGAAATAACCTTTCTTTCATCCAGTAATGACAAGAAACTCCAGATGAATGCTGTTTCATTTCTTAAACAACAAAGAAGCCTCTCCTAGAGCTAGCACAAGCCATCAAACATTACTGATTATTCTCTAAAGATGCATTAACATTTAAAAACGGTGTCTCACCATGTGGTTTCTGGTTTTGCAAAGGAATACGATAAGCCTTTATCAATATAGGGAGTAAGTAAAATCCAGTTCTCAAATCTCCTTCCAAAAATTTCCTATTATCCACCATGTCTTCCCAGCACCCTCAGGGAGGCCTCACATTTCCTCCTTATGAGCTTTGTTCTGCTAAGGGAGGAGATAAGCTCACATGCACTTGAAACCCAGTTTACTTCTTACTGGATAGTGCAGGGTACCAAGTTAGCGGCATCTGTAAAAGCCTGACCTTACCGTGGTTCATGTGAAGAGCTGCAATGCAGAGGAGAGATCCAGGGAGCCCACGCCCATGCCAGGTTCATGCAGGAAAGTAAGAGATTAGGGACAAAAAGAGAAAATCTCACATTGATTTGCAACGACGCCCTTCTTGGGTCAGAGGTGAGCTGACTTGTTTGTTGATACATCCTTAGCCAGCTCTAAAAGAGAGGCAAAACCCAGCTGGACCAGGGCTGCTCTGAGCAAGGAGGGGTTTTCTAACTCTTTTTTGGTGCCTGTAGGTCAGGAGGCTGGAAGAGCTTACGGGGGGATTCAAGTGAAGTTGGAGCTTTGGGAGAGGCTGGTACAACCCAAGAGAGTAGGGGAGGAAGCTGAGGGGAGAGGTGCAGGAGCGGGTGACAGTGGGAGAGGAGACCAGCCAGGGTCGGTGGTGTTGCAGGAATAGGAGGCTGGGAAATGCCAGAGGGGTTTCAGACAGTTGTGAGAGTTTTTATGGATTTGTCCTGGCTCCTTCTCTCCAGCCAGTCTCCTTCCCAAGACTCTTTTCATCATTTTCCAAGGTCACCCACAAGGTTGTAGCACAGCTATGTGGTGAAGAGCCAACATGTTCCCAGTGTCCTCGCCACTCTCTGATTTCTCCTTCGCACACTCAGCTTCTGCCCCTCCTTCAGTTCAGTGCTGTAGGTCAGGGAGCCTGGGACAACCTCTTCTTTTCCAGTGCCTTCTCCCTTTGTGTGCATCCAAGCAAGGTATGCCTGGATTTCTGGCTTCTCCTGCGGGCAGTATCACAGCACCAAGTTAACGTGGGTTTCCTGGAAGTTTCAAGGGGACTGATGTTTTCCATTACAGCTCATGAAGTGGAGCTGCAGCCATGGGGGCATCTAGCCTTGTAATATTGGTTGCATATTTTACACCTTCTCCTGAATCTAGAGCAAACCACAGAATAATCAAGCCCGTCATTTGCTTAAGTGCCTTCCTAGCTAATTTAGGGCTTCTTGACTCATTGCATTTTTTTGTTTTAAGAGCCTCTTGAAAAACAAAATTAATTGCTTAAAGAATTGAGCTAATAAATCCTCCACTTCCCCACTCCTCCTTCCCTGGCAGGATTTTACCTCATCGTCTGTCTATCTTCTAGAGATGCGCTCTCTCTTTTTCACTACACGGATTGCCAAAGAGACAAACGAAATTCGCCCCAGGGCTTGTCTCCACTCTTCTCCCCCGGGCTGCTTTTCTGTCTCTTGCTAGCATGTTGTATTGCCTTGTACCATTGACTCCTTGATAGCCCAGCTCCTGTTTTATCCCACGCTCCCTTTAGGTCTGAAACACACCATTGCATCTGCTCCGTATGGGGTCTTCCTCCTGCTTGTCTATTAACCTACAGCTGTGCTGAAGCTCTCATGCACACACATTTGACAGAGCTCTCATCTAAACAGGATCCACTTGCAACCACGTGAGCTGGATCATTGCCTTGGTAGGTGATGTGATGGGGAAAAGATGTGCACTGCAGTTTTCGGGGAACTTGGGGAACTGAAGAGTACCCGGAAAGACAAGTTTGCGCTCTCTACTTCAAGTGTGCTTTCACTGTGCAAACCTGTGCTTTCCCTTCCCGTGACTCTGGCTGCTGGATTCTATATCCCATTTTCAGATAAAATGTTCTGTGTTAACCCCCAAAGCTGGGGCTGCCTCAAAGGGTTGCCCTGCCCACACCCCGACTCAGCACTCTGTGTTCAGATGGGGCTGGCCCAGATCGCATCTGTGTATGATCCCCAGATCAGAGTCCCTGAAAGTCATATCCTGAGCAGAGTGGCTGGAGAGGGACAGGTTCAAACAGAAGCCATCTACGGAGCCTGTCCGTCAACAAAAGACGGACACAAATGATGCCCTGTGACTGTTGGGAGACTTTCAGTCCCAGAGCTCTGCATTCAGGGTCCTGCAGGCCGGTGTCTGGATGCAAATATAATGAGGATGCTTATGGCACCAACTGGGCTAAAATCCCTCCCAAAAGCATTGGGTTTGGTGAACATTATTGGACGTGCAAGGGGAAGAAATCTGTGCCTTCCTTCTGCCGATCTCATG